TATTTTTTTGTCTCACCTTACCTATGCACCGAGAGAATCATCAGTGTAAGAACTTCATACAAAATGATCAACATTATATATATATATATATATATATATGTAAGTTTTACCTAGTTCATACAAACAAGGGAGGCAGGAATTGCAATGAATGAGATAAAATGCTATGTAATATATATAAACGTACTGTGTTTATTACCTTCTGAAGCATATCTTGTCAAGTTTAACCATTGCAACTTTTATGCATCCATATATGGATATCTCTGTACCTCCATTTATATATTCAATAAAACTTAAAAAACAAGAAACAAACAAACACAGACACACACAAAATACTTTGCAGATGACTGTGTTTTGCTTTTTATAGGCAATAAGCCCAATCACTACCAAGTTCCTTTTGTATAAAGATATTTTGTAGATGTTTATTTAAAACATGAAATGCATAACAATGACTTAAACAATAGATAGCGGTCTGGGAGATAAGTAAAAAATTAATTATGTACATTGATACAGTTGTCATTTTACTTTTATAATTTATAGAAATATTGGAATATAAAACATTTGTGAGGGAGACTATATGGTATCTCTATTTTTCAAATAGCGTATGCAATGTTAGCATACGTGCAAAAATACCATATTTATTGTATGAGATGTCCCAAAAATAAACACATAGAACTGGTGAAATATCCTGCTTATGGGTATTTGTGAGGAACATGATTTAATATATTCCATGGAATAAAGCTTTCTAAAAGTGCCATCAGAATATAAAAATGACATCAGAGCCATGGCACAACTTTGCACATGCACCTATGTGAGAATATATGTTGAACATCTCATGGGCTCTTCATTGATTTCCAATTAATGTCTCATATGCATGTAGTAGAGCATAGCATGGCTCTTGGCATGCCAGTCAGTACTAAGTATGGAGTTGGCAGGGAGCAGTAGATAAACCGTCCCTTAACTAACTCCAATAATTAATTGGCATGCAACCTATATGGGTCTTCAGTAAGAAGAGCCTCACCTATCTGAAAGGTGTATTCTCTGCCTACTGAAGACAAACAGCATGTGTCCAAAGCAAAGGAAAAACATTAAGACTTAATCAGGCAAGCAGAAAAAAACACTTTTATTCTATCCAAACATAACAAATAAAGTACTAGCATCAGCAATACCACACTTTGTAGATCAACCCCTCCCCCCCCATGGGTTAAAATTGAAAGACAACTGATGGAACTATACAAATTTCCCCATGTGCTATGGCTCCCTAAACCCCTCAGAGTCCCCTACGTAAGACTCCAGCCCAGATATTCTTGCTGATACAGGTATGGGACACACGCAGACACAGGCTAAGCAGCAGTAATCAAATCTCCTGAGCAACCCCCATAGCAGCCATCACGTACTGCATTCCCACTTTTTATGCTAAGCCCTGGCAGGAGAAAGGCCTTACCCACTTGACCCACTTCTACTCAAGGGCACAGCTTAAAGACTTTCAATTTGTCAATAAGTCCGAGTCAGAGCCGGGGTGTCTCCCTCCCCGTTCCAAGCTACTTCCCTCTGTCGGTCATATGTCAGTATGTTTTGAAAATCTGTGCGGTAGACTTCTACTAGCCAGTGTGTCCAGATGCCCAAGTATGTTTGTGGGCAACCCTGTGCCGTGATCGTCAAGTCTTAGAGTCCCCTCAGCTCCTCCATTTTCTCAAATCATGTTGTTAATGGGGGGGTGTCTGACTTCCAGTATAGGTGTAATATATGTTTTGCTGTGTTCAGTATTCGTATGGTCAGGGATTTCTTATATTTGGCTGTCGTGGTCGTGGTGTGATGTAAGAGGTATGCTGTAGGTTTAAAGGGAGTGGGTTGTCGGAGAACTTGTGTAGTACCCTGCTATCATTCTCCAGTATGGGACTACTTTCGAGCACTCCCACCATATGTGTAAAAGCGTGCCTACTCCAGTGTGGCATCGCCAACACCTGTCGCTCACTTCTGGAAACATTTTATGTAATATCTGTGGTGTTTTATACCATAAGGTTAGGACCTTATCTGCTGTCTCCTGGGTTTTACTTGTCCGTGCGCAGTGGTGTGTGAGGTCGCAGATTTAGTCCCATTGTTGTTCCGTGAAGGTGTCCCCCGTCATTGTTTCCCATTTTCCCATGTAAGGGGGTGGGGGGTGATTCCTGTTGTGGAGGAGCAGAGTGTATATGTGGGAGATGGCGTGTGTAAGTGGGTCTGTTCCCAGGCTTTCGAACGGGGTAAATGTCCTGTAGAGGACAGGGTGCTGTGGTATATTTTTCAGGAACTGTCGGATCTGTTCGTGTCTCAGTTGTGTAGGAAGGTAGCGTGTGTGTCGTCCAAGAAGTCACTAAAAGGTTTGATTGTGGTGTTTTTACTCATGTGTCTTACTTGAATGTGTGTCTGTGGTGTCAAGCAGGCGAATGCCCGTGGGTCCATGCCTGGGGCGAAGTCTAGGTTGTTTGTGAGCAGGTAGAGAGGGGATGGGAAGGAGGAGCGGCCCATCTGTGTGACCACCCTGTGCCATACGTCTAATGTTGCCTTCACCAGAGGTTGATGTTGCGACAGACATCTCCCCGTTGTTGGTGACATGAATCTGTGTAAGTTCCGTTAATGTAGACCTTCGCCGATGGATCAGTATATAGTGCGGTAATCCAGTTACACATATTCGGCCCCATTCTTAGGGCTGAGAACGTGCTGAATAGGAAATCCCTGCTTACTCTGTTGAAGGCCTTCTCCGCATCAGTTGAAAGCAAGAGAAGGTTCGTGTGGGTCTGCTGAGCATGGGGGATCAGGGACAGGGTCCTGGCTGTGTTGTCCCTTGCCTCCCTATGCTGAATAAACCCCACTTGGTCTGGTTTCACGAGGGATGGCAGGTAGGGTGTCAGCCTGAATGCTAAGATCTTAGTGAAGAGCTTTATGTCGTCGTTCAAAAGGGAGATTAGGAACAACTTTTCTGTCTCTTCCATCAGTGCAACAATACATATAGTTATGCTAAGCCCTGGCAAGTGGGGAAGACTCTATAAAGTGTGAGGGGTGTGTGAGCTGCACAGCTGCACAGGGCACCTTGGCAGCAGGGACATCAGGCAGCCAACACATCTCACATGCACAAGGGCCAACAGTGCAGTGACAAAACTTCAAAACTGACTTCAAGTAAGGGGTGCAGGCAGAGCTAAGTATACGTGGTTCGGCGGAGCTAAATGTGCCCAGTTACTTCTGCACACTGAAGGGAAGCAGGAAGAAGTCTCTGCTTCCCCAACAACAAGACACCAGGGACTGCAGTGCCTTCAATCCGCCATAAAGAAAAATGTAACTTGTCTGTGTTTGTGTGCATGTGATTGTTTGTCTGTAACTGCGTGTATGTGTCTGTCTGCCTGCAACTGAACCTTGTGTGTGACTGGCTGCATATGACTGTGTGTGTGACTGATTTTCTGTGACTGTTCGTTTGACTTTCTACCTGTAACTGTATGTGTTTGTGAGACGTCCTGTAACTGTGTATTTGAGACTGTCTTTCTGTGACTGTGTGTGACTGTGTGTGTGATTGTCAGCTTGTGACTGTGTGTGTGACTGTGTGCGACAGTGAAATTCTAATACAGTCAATATGAGTATTTCATAAAGATTATATATTATAAGCTTCTATGCTTTGTTGAGTTTGTTCAAATGTCACTGTTTGTCAACTACATCCATACATATTCTGTGCCGGGGTGGTCGGACCAGTTGGCCAGTCAGTCATGGGCTGAGTCCAAGGCACCAGGAAGAGGCCCAGTGGCTTGCCAAGTGTGCTGCCAAATGTGGGACACCTCCATGAAACCTGCCCTGCACTGTCACAGCAAGCAGTGCACAAGGTGATGGCCATCTTTACGCAGCCACACAGCTATCATAACCTGCCAACTGGCATTACGGCAGCTGTGGAGGGATGATCAGCTGAGGGGAATTGGAGGTAAGTGAAGTGGGCAGGCACAATGTGAGTATTTGTTTGTGGGACACAAGATGATAATATTTGGGTGGGCAGGACAAGGGGAGAGGCACAATTTGGTGACACAAGGAGAGAGGAATTTGTGGGGCACAATGTGATTTAAGTGGTAAGGGATTGCAAGGTGAGAGGCATAAGTAGGGGGGGGGACAAGGGTTCACAATGGGAGAAGCACAAGTGGAAAAGAACAGGTAGAAGAATTTGGGGGAGGCACAAGTGGGTAATTAGGGGGTCAAGGAGGCACATATGGGTAATTAGCAGGGGAAGAGGAACAAGTGGAGAAATAGGAAGGAGAGGGGGAATAAGTGAAGAATTAGAGATGGAGAAGTGGATGTTATTGGGACTAACCAAATGAAGCCTTGGACCACTCTATATTTATTTTTATAGAGTTATTGATAGTTACAGCTATCTTTTGGCATCGTTTATATGGATAGCTAGAATGACATATATTCCATGTATGGAATTGACACATATTCCATCCAAAATACTTGTTATAAGTGACTCATTTAAATACCTCTTCATGTCACTGAGATGTTTATCTGGATTAGGTTGAACTATGACCAAGCCTTTCCTTCACACATGCTATGTATCTACTTCTTCTAGCTACTCTTATTGTGAACACTGCAAAAATGCAGGCGGTTTAAACATTTTTATAGCTTAGTTTCCTTCTTCAGGACAGATACGTGTCATTCCTGAGGTCATGCTAGCTTAATCACTAATGAGGTGTGGTTCCTGTATTGCAGAACTACAGATAATAGGATGCATTCTCATATTTCAATCTTTACATTTTATGAGAATAGATTAGTTCACAGTTCAGATGAAGTTTATCTTTAGAAGGTAGAACACTATTATCTGTGATCCATTATAAGCTGTATGCATAGTGCCTTCTCCTGTTCTTGTCTACTTCCACTTTTATTTCCCTAGTTTAGCACATTTAACCTTTTATGGTCCCCACACTTCTTGCACCACTCGTGCTTTCACAGTTTGCTCATGTAATTGCTGTGTAAGTAAGTATATGGGGTTCTTCCAGAATAGTAAAGAATCTGAGGGTGCTTAATTCTTTGTTCTACATAAGCAAACCTTTAATATGATGCCCATTAGAGCCATCCCATGTGCAGTTTCAGTGGATCCAAACCGGGCAGTACTATGTAGGGGCGTGGGCAACATTTTTCTTCTTAAGAAAGTGATAATTGGTGCCTCCCTTCTTCACAGCAGTGTTTTCTTGCAGCTGCAGGATTAATTGAAGTGAACTGAGCTGAGAGTGAGTATTGTTGCTTCAAAGTAGCACCCTCTGCCCACAATCTGGGGCAGAGATGTAAGCCTACTTTATTTTTAAAGTTCAGCCAGCCAATGGGAAACAAGTAACAGGGCTGGTGGTGCTGACTGGTGGACAGCTGCCCTGCTCTCTCATCCCTAGACTTCAAGGGTAGTCGATTCCAGAGTCTCTCTCTTTCCCTATTGGAATAAATTATCTAGCAAAAACAAATACAAGAGGATTAAGCCAACAATATCTATATAAAGCTGGCTAAAGCAGAACACACTGGTGCAAGTGTTCCTTAACACATGACTTTTATTAAAGTAAAAGTCATAGCGCAAAACGCTATGACTGGCTAGTTGGGGGTACAAGACTTTTTCTTTATTCAGCAAAATTGAGGAAGGAATGTATGATGCTTATAGAATTTTTCTTGATTTTTGCATTTGTCACTTTTTAACTTATTAGTTTTTGACAAATGCAAAAATCAAGAAAAATTCTATAAGCATCATACATACCTTTTTTGCTGAATAAAGAAAAAGTCTTGTACCCCCAACTAGCCAGTCATAGCATTTTGCGTGGCACAGCACTTCATCCTAGGCATAAATGACCCAAGATGCTGACAGGAAATATAAACTCATGGCTAACATAATAATAATAATAATAAAAAATAAATAAACTTTTTTTAAAACTTTTTTTATTAATCTTCACATGCTTTTGCTTTGTGCAGAGATAATTCAATATGGAAATTTAAGAGGGATGTGGGGGAACAAAACTTGTGTGCACTGGCAGACAATGAAATTAGTTAAGGTAAAGCTGACTTTGCACACTATGCAAATTCTTTTGCTGCTTTGGTCTTTCTAATACTGTGGCACTTCTTCTTTCTTCTACACTCACTACATCAACCTTTTCTCTGTCCCAGACTGCAAACCATGAGCTTTTGCTTGCTAGTAAGAAGGTAAGGAGAAGAGTGAATAAGTGAGTGTTAGGGGACAGTCTCCAGACCGAGAGCATCATTAGCCGCATTTGCACCAAACTCAGGGTGCTGTTATATAGTACACCATTAGTTGTCAGTATGCATAATTTGCAGGCAGAGTGACTTGCATTCACGTTAGAAGGACCTTTCAATTCTTTGGGCAGACCCACCCTTTTTCTGGACATGTCCACCCTTTAGGTGATGCCAGTTATGTGATTTGGGTTGTCAGGATATTTATATCGGCAGACATTTTGTGCTAAGAAAGAAATTAAAAGTGTATATTGCCAGAGTCACTCAGAACAGAGCGGACTCCATTTTGCTATCTTCAGGACAACAAAGACACATCATTTCCTTGCTTTCACTAACCACTGAGCCTGAGCTAAGGAATGCATTTTATAAACACAGACACTAGTGACAGAGAAGACTAAGTAATTAATTTTACTTTCTAAATTTTACAAGGTCTCATTGTAAGTAAGGGGTGAAATTGAGTTTAGAACTGTCAATTTTACAAATTACGATCAAAGTAGTTGCCACAAAGACTGAGACAAATGCTTTGAACTGACAGCAAATTTAAGTTATGGTAGTCATTTTAGATAAGCCAAATGACGTCAAAATCGTCATCAGGAAACATTAACTCTTTCCTGGATAGGAAGGTTTAGTGAGGCGAGACTGCCCTCTATGGATCAAATACCTAAATTGCGATCCATAGATTGAACACACCTTTCAGCTTCCTATTGGCCTTATCAACTAATGACGTACAGAGAGTCTGGCCCTTTAAAAGTTAGGACAAAGGGAAGAGAGAGGGTGGTTGGTGGAGTTTGGGCATTCAGATTTGGACATGCAGAGAGAAAGATTCAGGACACTCTCTGGGACTAACACTCAACTCTTAAACTCCTTGACACTTAAATTTTACTGATACTTTCTAACCAACATCACTTTTCTCTATTACTCATGCACCTCCATACAACCAATCATACTCACAGTTCCTGGGACTACCTACTCATCTGATGAGAATACCTACATAACTGGTAATTATGCTGGTTTTATTTAATTAATCTAAATTAATTAAAATGTACTAATAGCATGATAAATGACTGGATAAATCACAGTCAGATTTCAATATTTAGAAATCTTAGTTAACTAAAGAATATATAGTTATAAACATTCCATTCTGCAGGTGGAATTAAGAATAATTATATATTAATGTGATATTATCACGTGTTAGCATACCGTTGTTTTTATCCAGGTGTATTGATTTGCTCTAATATAAGATAAGATATCTTTTTAGGCAAATTAAAATTCATATTATAAAATCTGGTAGATTATTCTTATTGGATGGTTCCAGGAAATGATTAATGAGTTGGTTCGAATGTTATTTTAATTGAAAATTACATGAGAATAGGATACTATATGCCTAGGAGGATCTAGCCAGCATTGAAAGGGTCACTCAGTTGATTTAACTGTTAGCCAAGGTTTCATGGCTGGGCTGTGTGAAGTTTGCTTTCTTTGTACTGAGAAATACCCATTAATCTTGTCTTGACAGTTGGTGCTGTTAGCCATTGGAACGTGTATAGCCATTCCATTGTATTGCATACTTATGTTATACTAAATATTCACTGATTATTATCACGCATGCTGCCTAATATTATTGTTATTTTATTTGTCACAATAAATTAAATCTATTTTTATAACAAATTGTGATTTTATTTGTATGGAATACATTTCACTTACATGATAACGATCTCTAAGATCTAAGAGAATTGAAATAGTGGGCGATTCTCGACTGTTTAATATTATCATCCCATAAATATCCCCACAGGGTCAACATCCCACCATTTTACCTCACTCACCAATGTCCTGCTTCACTGGATGCAACTGTTAGGGTGATTAGCAGAGGGTATGAGTTTTCTTATATCTGCATTCTGTGAGTTTCCCTCCAGCACCATCTCAACCAGATACATGATGTTGGGTGGTTTTCTGTCGATAAAATTCTGTTATAAGGACCATCATAATTGTCAGCACCAGGCCCAATGTGCTCTTAATTTGGCCCTGCATATACATACATGTATATACCATACTGAACTAGCACAAATCCTATCAGATAATACAAAAGGCATGCAGATCATAATAATAATAATACAAAAAATACAACACAAATAAAATTAATTTAATCAAATACAAATATTTAACTCAATGTTCAAGTGCAATGCACTTACCTGCCAAATCGACTGACCACAGTCCGTTCCTTCATATGTTACCAGATCCCAGTCAATATTCTGGCCTCCACATTAAAAAACTCTCATCAAAACATTATCCAAAGCTAGGTGCCCTGTACAGAAACAAATCCTACCTAAGCCCTACAGTAAAGAAACAGATTGTATAACAAATACTAATTCCAGTCATTGATTATAGAGATGTAGTGTATGCACCTGTGCCGCAATCCCACCTTCATAAATCTACTACATTGTATAACTCATTCTGCTTCTTTGTGTTACAATGCAATTACATGACCCACCATTGTGACATGTTAAAAGAGCTAAACTGGCTATCTCTGGAATCCCTATGCACCATTCATCTTTCCAGCAAAGTGTTTAAGAGCTTTACTGGGAAGCTCCCACCCTACCTGAGTAGAATGCTCTCAAAAGCTGTTACCACCCCCTATAACCTCTGATCCAGTACCAGAATTTTATTTTAATATGCCAGAATGCAAAAATAAAGTGTCTCGATCCTCATTTTTCCAGGCCCAAGACATGCTTAAAAACTATATAAATCTCAATTTATTCTTCCTGATAAAATATTTTATAAATAAAAATGTACAATTTGGCCAATTTTTTTTCCCCATGCACAAGTCTAGCATACAATGCTAGGAATTCTCCTATTGTCATGCTTGTCGTAATTGTGGTGTTTAAACTTTCGGTTCGGGTAACAGCCATATAATGGGGGAGATATAAAACCTGTGAGGTGAAATGGACCTTCACTGTTTTTACTCACAAAACTCTGGGCTTAAGCAGTGAGTCTGATGCCGCAAAGTTTTTTTAATTTGATTGAATTTATTTTATTTGTGTATTTTTTTTTCATTATTACTCATTGTGACGAAATCCATTATTGAACTGACCATGCGAACCAGCCTGTTCGGCTATTTGGATGAGTACAGAGTGATTTTGTGCAAATAGCGAGAAAAACGAATGAACTACTGAACCACCCGACCTCCCACTGAAGTCGTGTGGCGCCTATTAACCACCCAGACTTTGCGGTTAACCACAGACTAATTGGGGAATAGCTGGTGGTCCGCGTTCGTCTACTGAACACGTGGCAATCGCCATTTTGGATTGTCGACCGCTCAGTGGTCAATGGCGATGATACCCTGGAACTAATTTCGGCTACTTATTTTGACGAACACCGCTGCTACCTCTTCAGGTCCTCGTTCATACGGTGGAAAACCCACGAATGCCGGAGCTACCACACCATTCATGCGTTGGGTGTATGTGAAACTGACCGACCCCAGATAGCTACAGTATGGAACTTGTTGTCGGATACAAACACGTGAACGACCGGTGAAAACCAAACTTCAGTCGATGTTTTTGAGAACTGTGTTCGTGGGATCTGAGCGCTATTCGCCTAGAATATGCACTCAGATCCAAGCTATCTGGGGATATGTGGGACTTCAAGTTTATGTTCGGTAAAATGTGTGTTATAGATTTTATGCTGTTTTACTAAAATAAGAAAAGCCATGTTTCTTTCTACCTGGAGATAATTAAGGCTCTCTTTGCTACCTTAAGTTAATTATCTCCAGGATGGAAAAGGGGGAGGGATTTATGTAAAAGGGGAGTGCTTATGTTATAGCCACTGTGATTGGCTACTGTATTTCTTTTGCCCCAGTCTTCCATCTGGTCGCCTAGGGGAGTGTCCACCAGGTGGGAGACCTGCATAAATACCGGGCAGGTAGCCCACAGTAAATCAGATCGTTTTACCCCGTCATGAAGTCTCGACTCATGTTTGTGGGATTGGGAGTTATAAT